TCGCCGCGCTGCGCCCGGCCGAAGGGAGGGCGGGCGGGGGTCGCGGCCCCCCGGCAGCGCCGCACGCCCGGCGCAGGCAGCCCCCGTCCCTGACCTACTTTCCGCCTGGCTTGCCACCCGACGGCGCACCACTAACCTACTTTCCAGCCAATGGCACCCTCCCCCGGCCCCGCACCGGACGCGCCCGCCCGCCAACGGCAGAGCGGCTCCGCGCCCGCCTCGCCCAATGGGCGGCCGCCGAGCGGGTAACGCCCGCCCCCCCCAGCACCGGCAAATCCCCGGGCGGCCCCGCGGCACCAGCCAATCGGAAGCCCGGCTCCGGGCCCTGGTCCCGCCCCCCGGCGGGGGGCGGGGCTGAGGGGCGGCGGGGGGGCACAGCCGGGACCCGGATGTGGTAGTGGCGGCGGGGTCGGCGAGGGTTCGGGGGCGGTGTGCCCGGGCGGCGAGGAGGGCTCGGCCTCGCCCGCGCTGCTTGCCCGGCGGCGGCGCCGCCCGCGGTACCGCCCGCTTCCCGCCCCTCCGCTGGGGCTCGCCCGAGCCGCTGCGTCACCGCCGCGTGACGTCAGCCTCGGCCGTGACGTCACGCGCCGAGGTGTGAAGGTCATGGCGGCGCTGCCCCATCGTGGCCGCTGTTCTGGACACCGCCCTGCTGGGACCTCCCGTCCGGCTTTAGGGCCGGCTTCTCTGCGCTCAGCACACGGCCCTTCGCCCTGCACCCGCCCTGCCGGAGGGGCGCCGTGGCGTCCTTCAGCCCGCCGCCACCTCGGCCGCGGCCACCCGCAGGTTCCCGCTGCCGCGGAGCCCCGCCTGGGGTCTGCGGGGTCACAGCTTCCTGCCTGGCTCACGCACCGCACCTCCGAGCCCTCGGCCTCCAGCTTGGCTTGGTGTGCCGTGCTGGCACGGTGTCCCCGTCACTGGTGCTCCATCGCCTCCCAGCGCGGGCACAACGCCGGAGCTGCTCATGGCATCACGGCTGTTCGGCTGTGCAGAAGGCCAGCGGTGAATGTGGTAAAGCCATCCACAGCACCGTGCTCTAGTCTAAATTTAGACAATTCACACAGCAGCATAGAGGGGATGTGTTGCAAGAACATGATCACAGTGGAGTTGCTTTCAAATGCAAACATTAGCTAAACGTGATTGCGTGATCGCTGCCTCAGATTATCATTGCCACATCCTAATTGTCTTAACATTTCCTGTCCTGTGATGCCACGTCCCAGAGGTTTGGTTTACGTTTCCTAGGGTAACATCAAGTGTGGATTGCAGCAGCGTTGCGGCACAGTATGGTTGTGGTTATCCCAATCCACCAGGGCAGGACCCGGGCTCAGCCCGGGACAGCATTAACAGCTCCTTTCCACCCAATTGACTGGGGACCAAACACAGGCAAGGATGGCCCCTGCTGGATACAAACTCTCTGTTCACATCAGGGTACTCCTACATGGGAGAAACCCGCCAGCAGAACGAGATAAATGAAACACCGTGCATTAGCAGGATGGAAATACATACCATGAAGAGAGAGGAGAAGATGCATCCTTTTATTTACAGCAAAATGGTGCTGCTTTGGTTTGTTTTAGCGCACAGAAGTTATGGAGGTGGAGAAGTCTCCTTGACTACTTATTTCAACTCAGCCTTTGTAGTTTTGCTCATTGTTTCTACTCGTCTGTAGAAATAATCTTCCTTATGGAGTCAATCACACAGTGTCTGTTCTAATGAGCCCAGTGCCTGTTGTAGGGACTGATGCCAAGAGTGTCCAGGGGCCTGTGGCCTGGAGTGGCCGGCTGCCTGCTGAGGTTCTGCATGGCGCAGGATGCCTCCCTGACCCAAGCTGCCACCACTGCCAACTCGGGCTGCTCTGACAGTGCCAAGTGCCTCCTGCAAACTGACACCAGGAACCTGGGCTGCTGACTTTTCTTTCCCAGGGAAAAGGCCGACATTGGTAAGCATCCTTCGCTGTGTGGAATTTTAGGAGGCGCCCGCCCACTCAGTCCACAGGCCCCTGAACACAAATGCTTGCCCTTTTCCACTGGGAAACAAAACTCAGTATCCCAGGTTCCTGGTGTCAGTTTACAGGATGCACTTGGCACTGTCAAAGCAGCCCGAGTTGGCAGACCCGAGTTGAGGCTGGGAGGCATCCCGTGCCGTGTGGTATTTTAGGAGGCGGCCACCCACTCAGGGCCTCAGGGCCATGAACACAAATGCCATCCTCTTCCCTGGGAAACCAAACTCACCAACCCAGGTTCTTGATGGAAGTTTGCAGGAGGTGCAGGGGACAGTCAAGGCAGCGCGTGTTGGAGGTGGTTGGTGGTTGGGATGGGGAGACATGATACACAGTTTGGAATTTCAGGAGGCAGCTGCCCACTCACAGGTAAGAATCCTCTAGCTATCATCGCTAGTACAAGTCCTAATGCACTAGGATGGATCATTGCTGTGCACAGCTGTTGAGAACAGCTCAGAACAAGACCATGAAAGACATCTGACTGGATGCTTCTAAAGAGATATGCTATGCCAATTCCTGTCCAGGCTCCCGACTCGAGGGTGCGAAGGAATCAGCACTGGGCCGAGCAGCAGAGAGATCTGAGATGCAAAGATGGACACCTGGGTTTCTGATAAGCCTCTCAAAGGACTAAAGCAAAAGTCATGCAACGGGAGATACCCAAAAGACCCAGAAGGCATGACAGACAAGTGACACAAGTGACATGCACCGGGACTGCTGTGCCCTGAGCACCTCAGCACTGTGAGACTTTTCCTTCATGTGGCCTAAGGGACCACCTCTGGCACATCCCCGCCTCCTAAGCCACTACTCAAAAAGCCCTCCCAGCACCTCGCTTTCACCCCTCTGGGTGTCACAGCCCTCGACTCATCTCTCGGACATCCAGGGATGAGAATCCATGTCGGCTGTGAAGGAAGGCCACCTTGCCCGCTGGAATTTCCTGCAGTCACCGGGCTGTGGTCCCTTGGTCAGCTACAGCTGAGAACACCAAACATCACTGCATGATCTTAGCTGTGCAGCGGCCAAACCCAACAATCTGCTACTCACCATTCCCCTAACAATGCCCGGGCACGCTTCGGCCGTGCTCAGAGGCCGACGCTGTTGTCCCGGGGGACGGCCTGGGTTAAGAACAGACAAGGTGATTTGGCATTGCTGAAACTTGAGTGGACCCTGGCTCCTCCCCACTAGTTCCCCAACTTACAGCAACTCCCCGGCCGTTCCTGAGGGCTCCCCGGGAACCATGAAATGGTCAAGGCTTGATCAATGAGCCCTGTACCACTTCCCGAGTTCCCACGAGAGCGACAGCCGGCTCTGCTGGCCAGCTGCTGGGGGGTTCTCAGCATAACATGAATGAAGCATCTACAACACATAAACAAGAATGGATGCTTAGGGTTGCAGCAGGGACACCAGTACCCTAAGCGCACAAATATATAAATTTTAAAAAAACAGACTCTAAAAAAATTTTGCCAAACCAAAGTCACCTCTAATTACTCATAACTACACTACCTAATATCAAACACAAAGACCCCATCTCAAATCCCCTTAATGGATCCTCTAAAATCTATGCCAGAAAAACCCCTAAAACTGAAAAAACCTTGCCTCTAACCAAGTAAGAGCAAAAAACCCATGTCTTTTAAATTATACCAAATCATTAGACTAAACACATCAAATCCACAAAAATATAAAACCTTACTGAACACCAGTACACAGTACACACTAATTTCATTACAACATATAAAACAAAACCTATTTCTACTACTAACATAACAAAAATCTTCACAAGATTCAACTGTAATAAAACTGAAAAAAACTCACTAAAAAGAAAATTTTAAAATTCCATTATAACCTGAAAACTCATGCATTCTAAACATGAACTTCCTACAAAACAAGTATTTCAAAACGCCAAAAATCTCAAATAAAACATTTAAAATAACTACTATAAAACCAAAATACAGTAAACAAATAAACACCTGACCTCAATTATCTAAAACCACCTATAACTCTTCTTAAAAAACTCCAACAAATACCAATTACCACCTCAACAATATACCACCAGCTACACCAAACAGCTCAAAATATTGTAATTCCCATCCAAGAAATATTCTATAAACTAAAACACCAAAAGAAATCAATGAAACCAACAACAGGATACTATATACCACCAAAAAAAAAAAAAACCCAAATAAAACCCACATATAAATGCCACTATTTATTAAACAGCACTGCCACTAAATATATTTACCTATATGTATACATAGATGTATACATATAATTAAAATATATTAATTTGAGCATTAAGACGATATAAGAAAATAAAACGTCCTAAAGTGATATTATAATAGGATATCCTCTATCATCCTCACCCAAGTCCTCTCTCAACTATATTGGCAAACACAAATAACAACAGGAAAAAATCCATTTTTACTTATTTTACCTAACATCTCACGTATTAGCCAAAATGAAAAACTTGGCCAAAAGTGTGATTTCACCTTCTAAAACTAATCAACTTTACTTTGATACAAAAAAACCAAACCACCACCAAAAACCCCATGCCAAAAAGACCGTCGCCGCAGCCCACCCATCCAATTCCGTCCGCCCCTGCCGCTGGATGGGCGCAGCAATGAGAGAACACGGAGCCGGGGGTCTCAGACAGAGTGCGAAATCCATCGAACACTGTGTCCAGAAGGCACCCGCGCTGTTATTTAAAGCTGTGCTCGCTTACAGAGCGACACCAACAAAGCCCACAGACCAAAAGCCTGCGCGGTCGGGGCTGGGTTTTTCCCCTCTCCTCCTTTCAGTGACTTTGGCAAGCACGCTCCCAAGCTGACAAGCCACAAAGTGTCCCCAGCGCCCTCGCCGGGACTCGCTCCGGGGTTCGGGGGGCACCGGGCAGGCCACGCGAGCCACGGGAGCGGCGGCTCCCGGCCCCGGACGAAGAGCGGCTCCCGGCAGGAAAGCGGCTCCTCCGGCAGGCAGAAGAGATGCCGCAGCGGGAGAGCCCGGACAGCTCCGCCCTGCCCGGCGGGGCCGGCACCGGGCCCGGGGGGCCCCGGCAGCGCCCGAGCCCCGCCCGGAGCGGACGGACCGGCCGGGAGCAGCGCAGCGCCCGTGCCGCCTCTCCCGCCCGCCGGCCCGGCACAGCTTGGGTCTGGGAGGCATCCTGCACCGTGCGGAACCTCAGCAGGCAGCCGGCCACTCCGGGCCACAGGCCCCTGAACACCAATGCCGGCCTTTTCCCTGAGAAACAAAACTCAGCAGCCCGGGTTCCTGGTGTCAGTTTGCAGGAGGTGCTTGGCACTGTCAAAGCAGCCCGAGTCTGCAGTGGTGGCAGCTTGGGTCTGGGAGACATCCTGCGACGTTCAGAATATCAGCAGGCCGCCGGCCACTCCGGGCCACAGGCACCTGTACAGCAATGCCGGCCTTTCCCCTGGGAAAGCGTCCAGCTGCCTGCTGATATTCTGCACAGTGCAGGATGTCTCCCAGACCCAAGCTGCCACCACCGCAAACTCGGGAGGGTTTGACAGTGCCAAGTGCCTCCTGCAAACTGACACCAGGAACCCGGGCTGCTGAGTTTTGTTTCCCAGGGAATGGGCCGGCATGATGATCTTTTGCCGTTGCTGTAGAAGGGCAGCTTAGCAGGCCTTATGTCAGATTTCCCAAGGAGAGATTGTTTTGAGTTGTTTTCACACCATAGTTTCTGTTCATGAGATATTAAAGAAAATAACAGCATCTGGTTAATCAAATTCTGAATTTCACCATATGATGATGTATATCAGTCCTGTTCTGTCACTTCCCTTGAAATATATTGTCAGGTCAGTGCAGGCAATTTCTATCTGCAGGTGAATCAGGCATCTTATACCTAGAAATTCTAAAGGTGAGGAGCTGAGAAACGACAGTTTTAAATTTGACAAGACTCAAATTTGACAAGACTCAAATTTTCAGCTCCTGACACCAAAAAAGTTTGCACCACCCCTGTACCACAGGTTTCAAGAGACAAAAGGCAAACAGGAGAGGTGAGGCTTCACCAAAGCTAGAGCTTTTCTCCTTGCGAGGCGCTTGAGGGAGCACTTGAAGTACAGCATCCCACAAATCATGGGAGCTGCTGGGCAGAGCAGCTCAGTTGTGTGCTCAGCTCAGGGCATTGTGCACTGCTGTGTCTGGTACAAGAGCTGAAGCGTTTCCTCATCCACACAACTCTCACCCAATTAATTTTCAGATTTTATGCTTTTTCTTTCTAAGAATGTAGTAAATTAGATCTTAGGCAGAACATTAACTGCCTCTGTAGTTATGTTAATGTGCCAATGGTTACACCATGTTCAAACACCAACATTTACACTCATGTTTGGTTTACAATGACAATTTAAAAGCAGGAAGAGGGTGTGCTATGTGGCAATTGTACTGCAAATTGTGGTTTATTAATAGAATGTTGGAAAATGTAGCTCATGTTCCAACTGATTACTGTATTCACATTTGAGTGCTACAGTAAAAACTTTCCAGGTCTCAGGGTTTTGACTTTGTGTCAAGAGGAGTGGCAGATATGATCTCCATTAAATGCAGTCTACATAAGGTGTGATAAGGCCATGTCAGTGGTTTCACTTTAGAATCTGCAAGTTTTTAAATCTAGATAACTGTTTCCCTGCAGAAAAAGGAATCTGGTTTCTCAGCTGATAACCCAAAAACTGATAGGTTTTTTTTGTTTGGATTATTTTGGGCAGGGGTTGCCTTCAAGCAGTCTTTATATGTCTCTGGAATACCCACAGATTTCAGAAGTAACCAGCCAGATTAGTTCTTTGATGTTTTAGTTGTGTTTTCTCTCAAACATGATTCATGATCCCAGTTCATGGCACAGAGGACGCAGATCTCTGAGTCTTTGGAGGGTGAATTTTTGCGAAATGCTTTGGAGATAGAATTCTATGTGTTTATTTTTTTAATGTCTTCCAAAATATGTGCAAGATAGGGTATCTATTTTAGCACCTAGCTGTGGATCCAACTGCTTTAGAGCATTTTAATCAGCTGCTGTTTGTTTATATGTTTCTAGCCATGGAAATACTGGTTAATTACTGGAAATACTGATCAATACTGATTAATTAACCTGTTTTACCCTTTTATCCAACCTCTTCCTCCATTTCTCTCTAGACATACAAGCTATGATCTTACCTACAGGTAAGCAGGAGAAGTCAAAGCTCACAGAAAATTATTGAGACTTAATTTGAATCTCTGGATTTCTTGTTCTGTCTGTACATTTGAAACCCCAGAGATTCCTGAGCCCTGTTCCTGACCCTGTACACTGAGTTGGTGCCTTGCTTCAGCCAGTTGTGAGGGCAGAAGAAACTGCAAACTTCTGCTTGGATTGTTTGCAGACTGATCCAAAAAATCACACAGTGGTGACCTGTTGACTGTAGTCTGTCACAGCTCCTGTGTGGCTGGCTCAGACCTCTTCAAAATAAAGGTTTTATCAAAATAAGCTATTGCAGGCTCATTCTTTTCCCAGTTCATCAAATTCTTGAATTATTACAAAAACCTAAGCCAGGGGAATATTAGGTTTTCTTGCTTTTGTTTGTGTAGACACTTGCTGTTTTAACGGGTGTACCTCCTGCCACAATGTTTCCACATTTGAGCATTAATTTCATAAATATAAAACAGTAAATGTTGACTTTTTCATGTGCCTGCTCCCTTCTGAGTTTTTTAAAACCCAATCTTCTTCCTTCTGGCCTTTATCATAATTTAAAGGGCTAAAAGTTTGTTTCAGGCAAAAAGAGAATATTCTTATCCAATCCATTGATTTCAGCCCTGTGGTCTCTGAGGACACCAATTAATATTCAGAGACTCAATAGGAATTCCCAGGAGTTGGCAATCCACTGCCTGGCAGCATAGCAGGAACAGGAAGAAGAATCTGAGGAGGAAAATCAGACTAAAGCCAGGGAATTAAGAAATTCTAAGTACTTCTTTGCAATATATTTTCAATCTTTACAGAAGGTTCAGGACAAAGAATTTCTATTTTTATCTGGATTTGACCTTAATGAAGGTTAAAGCATTTCAGAGTTTTTACTTCATTAAAAATATATGGAATTGAGTTTGTATGTCAGAGTCTGGAAGTCTGAACTCAAAGAAGACATGGTAAACTGTAAATATGTTAAGAAAATTTTAGTGAACATAAAATATTAAGTTGAAAATTCTAAAAGGCTACAGCCTTTTCAAATAACAGCGTTTTTGATTTTTGTTTGTTTGTTTGTTTGTTTGTTTTTCCCTAGGATTTTGATAAAATGTTTCCTAGAGTTTTATTTATCATTTTTGTTTATAAGAAATCAGTATTTATTC